TGAGGTTGGTAGATTTATCTTGTCATCAAAGTTTTTTAGTAATCAACCTAAAATCCCACAAATGAGAAATGTACAATATGAAGCAATCATTAAGCAACAACAGCAACGAATTGATGACCAAGAGCAATGTCTCAATGAGCAACAGCAAAGATTCGCTGCTTTGGAGGCCATATTAACAGCAATGCAGCATAGCATGCCAATAGGCCATTCTAATAGCATAGTCCATGTAGGATAAGCTTTCATTGCAAGTCAGACAGCGAACCCATCCTCCACTATCACCCATAAAGTATGATTTTTTTTGTAAGTTTAATATTAATTTGTTTATTATATTTATTAATTTAGTTTTAATACTTATATTTCATTAAATATTGTAGCAAGATGTTAGGACACAAAGTATGACCTTTGCTCTAACTATCATGGATAAGTTATCTAATTATTTGCTAAAGCATTTATCTGGAGGAAACTTCATAACCATTAAGTCTGATAAAGGATTATTTGATAAACCATCATTTTCTTTCATTGGTGTGGAAGAGGTTAAAGAATTTTATAAACTAGATGAATTATCAGCAGTTGATATTGTTGCTTATGTGAAGTTAGCTTATAAATACAAATATGTACATTCAATATGTATTAATCTATATTACGATGTAATACTAACTAGCATTATTGATTATTATCATGTAGCTTCTTATATAGAGAGCTCAAGGGGAGACAATTGACCAACAGATTTAAATTCGCTAACCCTAACTTCATTAGTGAGCAAAGTGGCACAGTCGCTTATCGTGCTAATCATGTGATTAAATGCATAAAAAGACTGGCTGATTATTATTTGCTCGTGTATAATGCGCAGTAAGTTATATTCTAACCTTAATTATTCCAACCTTACCTAAATCTAATCTGATGCATAATCCAAGTATGTCATTGTTATTATTTTGCAGTCGTCATTGGGTGCTTATTGTGATTGACACCAAATCCTTAACTTCATATTTACTTAATTCAATTAATCCAATGGTGATGCCTAACCCCGATATTCAAACTTTTATAAAAAGGTATTACATTTTATTATATTATATATCTTCTATTTCTTTATAAATAATTTTATTTATGTATTAAGTAATTTTTTTCTTTTCAATTTAGGGTAATATATGCATTCGATAAGAAGGCAAAAAAACTAAAATGTGTGTCATTACTGATAAATTTGAAATTTATTCTTTTATGTTGAGTTTGTGTAGATAAATATTTCCTAAACTCACTCAATTCAATTTTTAGGTACATCGTCAACCCGGTAATACTAAATATGGATATTATGTCCTTCATTTTATATGGGAGATAATTTTATATGATTTTATGATCACACCAATCAAGGTTCGTATAAATTTCATAAACTCATTATATCTTCAAAAAAATAAAAAGCTAAATTATGTTCTCATTTATTAACATTTACTTTTGATTTTTTTTTAATGTGAGAGTAAAGAAAGCTTCATGGTAAAGGAACTAGATGAAGTCTATAAAGAATGGTGTGAGTATGTGTTATCATTTATCAATGTTGACAAACCTTGATGTTAGACATTGTTGGTTGAATAAATTGTTATAATGTTTTTAACGTACCATGTTGAAAGAAAAATTTAAGTTTGTAGATTGGGGTATTGGTTTAATATTATTGGTATACTTAATATGAATACACTATGTGTACTTAATATATTATTGAGTACGATTATTTTAGAAAAGTATATTAATATGGCAACATTATCAGTTTTAAATTAGGATGTGTGGTCAATTTATTGAACTACAACAATGTTCATTATGTAAATTCCAAAATTAATTCATAGTATCACATATATAAACCAAATGTTTTCTAGGCAAAAATATACAGCTGACTTCAAATATTTTTTTGGGCATAAACCTACAACTGACTTGACATATAAAATATCAAAAATGCTTTTTTGATGGGATTAATGAAGGCGTTTTTAGCAAGAAAATACCTTGATTCATCCCTAACAAAATGTTATTGAATGCGTTTTTAACCAAAATCGCCTTCAATAATCCAACTTAAAAATTTATTGTGTGGAATATTAAAGGTGTTTTGGGCAAAAAATACCTTCAAGAATCCATTCTAACTTTTTTGTATGGATTATTGAAGGCATTTAAAAAAAATCACCTTCAATAATACTAACTAAAAATTAATTGAATGGATTATTGAATGCACTTTTGGCCAAAAACGCTTTCAATAATCCATTTCATATTTTTCGTATGGATTATTAAGGGAGTTTTTCTACTGAAAACACCTTAAATAATCTATAATAAAATGTTATTAAAGGTATTTTTGAAAAAAACCACCTTCAATAATTCGACCATTATCATGTGGAATATTAAAGGCGTTTTGAGCCCAAAATGCTTTCAAGAATCCGTTTCAACTTTTGTGTATGGATTATTAAAGACGTTTTTAACAAAAACTGCCTTTAATAATCTAAACTAAAAATTTATTGATTGGATTATTGAATGCGAGTTTGGCCAAAAACACCTTAAAGAATCGGTTTAATATTTTTCCTATAGATTATTAAGGGCATTTCTCTACCAAAAACGCCTTCAATATTCTCTTCAAAAAATGCCTAGAATAATCAATTATAAATAATCTCTACAAAAACCCAAAAAAAGGTTAAAGGGATGGATTGAATTTATCACCTTATGGTTAACATCTGTACGATACTAAAATTTTGATATGATATTTATTGAATGCGTTTTTAACCAAAAACCTTTAATAAGCCTGTAAAATTTTTTGGTGGAATTATTAAAGGTGTTTCTTGTAGAAAACGCCTTCAATAATCGTATACATTTTTTATAAGGGGATTATTGAAGGTGTTGTCTACCAAAAATACTTTCAGTAATTTTCTATCAATTTTTTTAATGAAATTATTCAAATCGTTTTTTGTCAAAAACGCCTTTAGTATTCACTCAAAATTTTAAGAGAGGATTATTCAAGACGTTTTAGTTGATAAACACTAATTTGAATATTTAGTGGCATTTTGATAATAAATGCCTTAAGTTATATAAATACACGAAAGCTAGCGACGTTTTGTAAGTGTATCGTCGCTACAAAACTGTCACCAATCATCCATTTTCTTATAGTGAATGAAATTTTTTCTAATAATGAAGTCAATATTGTCTTCACACATAAACACTTGACAGTTAGAAATTAAAACCTGAAATTAATAAAATATAATTTAGAAATTTCACATGCAATAAAGACATGTTTGAGTGACGTGTGTTCCATTTTCCTAGCTAATATGGCCAACAAATGAAATGTGCAAACAATTTTTTTTTTATGCTAAAGGCTTAGAAAATTTTCTATTCATAATTGGATTCAAAAATTATTTTAGTGAATAATGAAAGATCATCTGCGCAAATTAACTTGGATATGGATTAAGGCACAATAATTTTGTTTAAGCACAACCAGACAAAAACATAAATAAAAAAACAAAATTAAAATCATCTTAAAGGTGGACAAAGGTAGCTTACGTGTGCAAATCTAGTGTGCTAATGTTTGTTTAACAAGTAATATCATACCATTGATACTTTTTGTCTTCACATTGTTTCCAACTACATCTCAATAAAGGTAGTGACAAGTGTTGCAAATCAACTTTACCAAGTATTTTTTTAAAAAAAGATTTTTAGACTTTATTTAGTTTTTTTTAATTAATTCAAATAGATTTATTTATATCGGATTTAATAAATTTATGAAAAATTATTTGATATTGTAAAATATTAAATACTTATTTCAATTTATTTAGAAAGACTGAATTATACAGATTTGAAATAATGTTATTTTGTTAGTTTTGACAATTGAATAATATTCATCCATTTTTTAAATTTAAATGATATAATCATAATAAAATAAAATATTTATAATTTAATTTCATACAATAAAAATATCAAATGATTTTTTTTATTTTTTATAAAAATTAAGGACTTATTTGTTGGTGATCAAATTTTAAATTTTCAAAATTGAATGATTAAAATAAAAATTTTAAAAATAAAGTGATTGAAATTTTTTTAAAAAAATTTATATTGCCATATGACTTTTCAGATTACGAAGTGGTGTCATGTGGCTCCTGACAACTACATAATAATACCATATCAGCGTGTTGTTAGATGCTAATGGCTTAATGACAAAAAAAAAAAATACTTACTCAAATTTAATTGACTAAATTAAAATTTTAATACTCAAATAAACATTTTAAAAAGGCCCAAAAAATTGAGTGTCTATTAGTTTATTTTACCCTATTATCTAAACCAGGATCAATATGCACTAGTTAATATTTTCCTTGTTTTATTTGTGCCTAATTAGGAATACTTACACTCTGAAATCTTCTTTTAATTGAATTTAATTATAGTTTATATTTAATGAATTGTCACTATATAAATTTTATATCTTATTAATAAATTAAATGATGTCACTTCATTAATAAATAAATATCAATCTTTAAAATAAATATGCAAAAAAATTAATATTTTTTTAAAAATTTACTAATAAATAAGAAGGCATCATTTGATTCACCTCGCTCATGAGATGGTATCATCTTATTCATTAATAATATATAAAAACTATACACTAACAATGTATCAAATATAAACCTATCTAATTTAAAGTAATATATTTAACACCAATTAATTATTAGTGTTTGAACAAATTAAATTCACAAGTTTTATGTAATAAAAAAATTTTGAGGACAAGTGATGTTAGGGTTCAAAATCGATTATCATTTCATGATTCAATCTACTTTTAGCTGACAAGAAATTACTCCTAAAGTAACAAGAAAAAAAAAAGATCAATCAGATGCATGAATCCGTCCATCATTAATCAAATCAATATTCTTTGTTGCAATGTTTGATCTCACAATCTCTTTAGATAAATGTTTTGTGGGTACTTTGTGATGCTCAAATATGCAGCATTCTTACATACATGATGTAGATAATGATACTCATGATGCCCCTTATGCATATATACGTACCAAAAATTTCTGTTCTTTCCAATTTATTCAAGGAATATCGAAAAGGTATGATGGCTCTAGTTCATTTTCTAAGTAGTTTGGTTTATAAAATACTGCAGATCCTACCGTATCAAAGATCATATCTTCAATATTTATGTCGCAGGCTGAAAGTCCACCATCACCGGTAGTTGTTGTAATAACACTATGATCACCTTGGATTGGTCCCGGTGGAATGGTGTTGGTGTTTTGCCAATCTTGAAGTTCATCAAAGGAACGCAATGAAGCCAATTTGGAAGCCATGTCATCTAAAACTCGAGACGATGTGCTCGAACAAGAATTTGCAGGTTCAGATGCATTACCCTCTAGGATGCTCAATGCATTAGATAGATCAGAATACTCAATGTTTGCATCAACACTAACGCCAACGTCATCACCTACGTTTCCATGATCTGCTGACACCGGAGAAAGTACTATATTCGACAAATCTAAGCAATTTAAAGGTGTTGTGAGTGGATCAGAAATATTATCCAGCCAATAATCTGATGTGTCTGGTGCTATTGATGCATTATTTCCCTGACAACTTGATGTAGGGTGGCAAATTGTAGCAGTAGAACTTTCACTATCGGCACTAGCATTGCTAGTATTACCGTTAAATGACATTGGTTGCAAGCTTGAAAAAGCTCTTAGGGGATCAAGATCAAAACATTGCAATGTCGTGACCCTAGTGGCTAACTTATTGAGTAGCAGAGCTGAAGCTGAGGTAGACCTTGATGATGTTGGCTGCTGTGGGGGTTCAGATTCTTTTGATGTTGCATTTTCTTCATGAATGATCATGGGGTCGGTATTGACCACAGTATTGTTGGAATTTTCACTGGATGAGGCGCCAGGAGTGGTGCCAACAGGCTTGTGAGTCACCGGATCTATACCCATATTAACTAACCGTTTTTTGAGATGAGCGTTCCAATAGTTCTTAATCTCATTGTCTGTCCTCTTTGGTAAGTGCCTGGCTATCGCTGCCCACCTTGAAGAAAGAAAAACTATATAGGTGAGATTGATCATGACAACAACCCATAAAACTAAACACTTAAAAAAAAACATAATTAATCTCTTAAAAGGACAAAAAGGCAGTACTGATTCGAAGGATCTCATTTTTCATTCATGCTCATGCATGCTTGAAAGACAAAAATTTGCATCTCATCATATTTAACTATCTAGAACCCAAAACTTAAAGTAATTAATTCATGTAATTATAACTAAGAGGTGACATTCAGCGTACTAGTTTTGGATTAACATCTCATCATCTAAAATCCCTTCTTTTATCCATAAATTATGACTTCTTTTATAAAAAAACAACCGACTCTCCTCATTTGTCTCTTTGCTTTTATTTTTTTAAGAAGATGTTAGAGATTAATTATTAAGTATGATAATGTAAATATATACAATATTCTAGAGAAAACTAAAGTTAAAACAATGAATTCATTTAAAAACATTTTCTATTAAATTTGCTGTTTTTGGTCTAAGTTTAGCAAGAATATAGTAATATTTTTGCGTTGTCAATGAAAAGCTTTGCTGTCACCTGTTGCCTAATGCAGCATGAAGTTCAATGATGGATTGAGCTTCCTCCGAGGTGAAGTCTCCTCTCTTAACACCAGGTCTCAGATAATTTAGCCATCTCAGTCTACAGCTCTTCCCACATCTTCGAAGACCTGAAAATCAACAAAGAAACATGATCAGGTTCTATAAAATAAAGACAATTGATGCATCAAGTCATGGAAGAACAAAAACAGAAAAGACCTAACCAGCTTTCTCAGGCAGGGAACGCCAACCTCCTTCACCGTGTTTTTGTATGTAAGCTATGAGATTCTGGTCTTCTTCAGCTGTCCAGGTTCCTCTCTTCAAATTATCTTCACTGTCTAATAAAGTCCTTTCCATTCTGATAAAACAAATTAAGGTGATTTTATGTGACAAAATCAATAACATAAATTCTCTATTTCTTGGATGAACTTTAGAAATGCTTCCTGGGAAAGTGAATCAGTGATGGAAAGAGTTTTACAGCAATGGTGGCTATCTTTGCCTCCCATTAGAGTTGAGACACAGTGATGAGTTGTTACTGAAGAGACAGAACTACAAGGAAATCGTTTATATAGAAATTAGAAATAAACGTAAGTGTATGTGCCAACTGCCAATAGCCGCGTCGCGTCATAAGTTTGGTTTATAAACTTTTAGTTTAATTACCAAAAAAAGAAAAAGAAGTGCACGTGATACACAACATATTCTGAGGTCCATAATATACGTCTGGACCTTGTTTTTATGAGTTGTGCAGAATGTGTCGGTCGCAAGATAGTTTAGAGCCCTTCCACATTTCCTTTTTATTATCATCTTCATTATTGCTTTTTTCATTTTTTTTGGGTAAATATGAACACTGCAATTAGAAGAGCAAGGAATTCAACTTTGGACCCCAGTGTTGAAAAGGATAACGATCATTCACTCAAATTTGAGTTTATTATTGATGTATACAATAAGACACTTCATGATCAAGAAATTATATATAGATTGTCATGATATTGCAAAAGTTATTATTTATGAATGATGATAATTTTCATCAAGCTGTGTGGATCATGATATCATCTATTAGTACTTAATTTACTTAATTTATATATATATATGCACGAGCTTTAATTAAATTATAAAAGCAATAATTTATCTTTTTAAACTTATATCGAAATTTAAATTTTTAATTAGAGATTAGATAATTAATTAGACTTTATGCAATATGAGAGCTTCATATTGTGCATCAATTAAATTTGTCAAATCATAAAATATTAATCATTCCGTACATGAAATTTAATTAATATCCAATTACCAAAAGAGTGATGTCATGTCTCAAGCATCACTACCCCCTACCAACCCTTATTTTAATTATTTAATAATTAAAAAATTAAAACTCATATTATTCAAACTATAAAAAATCATATTCTACAATTCTTTAAAAAATCATCAATGGTTTAAATTTCAATGTAAGAGATAAGTTTGAATATTTTAACGGTACTAGGCACATGATTTTAAGTAAAAAAAATATTACTTCAACAACCGTACGCGCAGTGAGATCCTTGGCTCCTTGGTAGTTAAGATAGAAACAAGGAGAATTATTTTTTCACTAGACTTTGACTGTTATGGTTTTTTCATTTTGATTTCTAGTGTTCCGTTATCTTTTATTTATGGCCGGTTAATGGGTTAAAATATTTAATTGCAGCCTACTTAAAAAATTTTAATAAGTTATTAGATTTGATAGGTTATAATGTATTGAGTTTTAATTGGATTAAGGTATGATGAGTTGGATTTTAATTAGATTCTAAATAAATGTGGTGTTTGTTTGATGTTAAATTGTAATTTGGGTTTTTTTTATAGATTTTGAATTTTTATTATTTATTATCTATAACAAAATAACAAAACATAAAATAATATAAATACAATAATAATGTTAAATTTTAATGTAAAAAGATTAAAAACTAAAATTTTTTAAGTTACTTTTCTTTTTTCTTTCTTTTGTTTTATACATTTTTATAAAATGTTTATAATTTACAAAAAAAATTAAAAAATCATACATTCGATCAAATAAATAATAAAAAGTACAACAATTATAACATAACATGAAAAAATTAAAAAATATATAATTGTAATATATGAAATACTACATATATTTTAATTTTGATATTTTATAATATTTTATCTGTTTTATTTTTTATTTTTTTATATTAAAATAATTAGTCTACCCAATATATCGGGAATCTACTTTCTAGTATCATATTAAAAATGTACTTTGTTTTTTCACCACTATTTTAGATGGGATGGTAGCACAAAGAAAGGTAATTAAAAAATATATCTTTCACATATTTTCTTAATAAAAAATAATAAATTATTTGCAATGTTCATTTTTAAATAGTTTATTATTACGTTGAGTATTAATACGATGATATTTGATAATATTAGAAACCTTTATGACTCTTATTTCGCTTAAATTCGTTTTTTTTTTTTTAATCTTATAAATTGATATAATGATACTTAAATTTTATTATTCTTTAAACAATTATAAATTATAAATTTATTATTATTATTATTATTATTATTATTATTATTCATTAATCATTAACATCAATTTATTAAATTGTATTATATTAGATTCCTATTGAGAATTGAGATACAATATTATAATTTCAACATAAAAAGAAATTGGTATATTAAGAACAAATTCTCCATCCTCATGGCTTAATCTTTTTAATGGCAAAATTATTAGGCAACAAAATAAGTATAAAAGAAATCCAAAGTTCAATAAATTGTATGAATTAGCAATACAAATATTGAAGTCCATTAAATCTTGATATGTTTGACATTATAGAAGATCATAAATCTAATCATGATAAATTTATTTTTATTGATGATGATGACAAGATAAATCTAATAAGTGAAGCAGATGTAGATGATGATGATTAGAATAAAATATTTAAATTTTTTTTAGCTTCAAATCGAGACTTTTGATGAAGTACGAGATTTGTGTTGATTAAATTTTTTATGTTTTATTTTACTATTGTATCAATTTTATGTTATATTTAGTAAATATATATTAATATGCTGACAATATTGATGAATTTTCAATATTAGTAGTTTGAAAATATTTATATTTAAAAATCTTTTACAATTGTTGTTGCAATAAAAAATAAATTTGATGATATACAAATTGTTACTGTAATAAAAAATAATTTATTAAATTTATCAATATAAATGGTGATAAGCCAATTTCTATTCATTATAATTTTTTTAATACTAACAATTTTAATTGTTATAATGATAAATTTGTTATTGTGATGACATATAATCGTTATTAATATGTTACATTTAGCGTAATAATAATAACCACTTTATATGTCATCACTAGTATATTATTTCCTGCAAAAAATCACTAGCTACCAATTTGTGTATTTTATTAGTGATGATTTTATAGTATCAAATAATTTTGCATCATAAAAGCATTCTTATAGAGATGATTTAATTGTGAAAAAGTTTAAATGGTCACAATTTCTATTATAATAGTGATCGAATACAATATGTCACAATTACTTATTGCAATATTGTCACAGAAACTTTTAGACTAATGGAAACTTTTAGGATGAATGGAGTGTTTAATATCTTTGTTAAAAAAATCTCTGGACGATAGCTTTTCATTGAGTATGAAGATAAGGAAACGTGGGCTACAATGAAAAACCTTCGGTTGGTCATGACTGAAAGAGTGGTTCAACAAGGTAGAGGAATGGTCGACAACACTCAATTGAAGCATAGGGTTACCTGGGTTACTTGCTATGGCCTACCCCTACATGCATGGAATTATGAAACCTTTAAGAACATTACAAATGTATGGGGTGATCTGTTGAATATGAATGATAAAACTTTAAAGTATCAAGACTTTAATAGAGAAGCGATGTCAACAATGATGACTTACTTAGATAAGATTGATGAAACTATTATCGTATACTATAATGGAAAACCTTTTCCAGTAAGAGTAACAAAAATTAGAGAGGATTTGGTATTGTTATTTCACTGTTGTTGTAAAATTTTCAATGAAAATAAGAGAAACAGTGAAGTCCTTAACAAAACAAAATCTAACTTTAGTAACTTTTCTGAAGATAGTAGGGGTTGAAAAATGAATAGTTACATGATATCTCGGATGATAAGGTTGAAAAAAATGGCATTAATGATACGTCCAATATGAGGAATGTAGAATTTGAGTAAACAAGTGTGGGTGTCTAACACGAAGCTAACATACACAGAGAACTCAATTTGGCAATGATTTGAGCTAAAACTCAGAAGTCAAATAAAAACAGCTTAGATGCCTTACCAGCTATCAATGTAGGGAATGAGGAAACAGTAGGGGAAGAGGATCGGTCTAGTGACTCTGGGTTGAATGGATGGAATGGGTTAAAGATTTCATCAGCATCCAAGGATCTGAAGGTTTTCACCCAATAAATTCAAGCTCAATCTATGTGGAAGAAACCCAAGTCTTTTCCAATAAGGACAATAATGGGCGTGAAAGTGATGTACTTATTGTAACGATGAGAGCTATCAAAGGCCCTGAAAAGGTTATTGTTTTAGGTGTTAAGATCTTAGGGCATAATTCTGAGTTAAAAGAAAAAATAGAGAAAGAAACATGAGAGAAAAAAGAGAGAGATAAAGACGTTCTAAAATGGTAGGGTGCACAGCCACAACTGTGTACAATATCGTAGACGTTTTTTAAAAAAGAATGTTCAACGAACATAGAAATTGGTATATGTATTCAAGGACAATATTCACCCACAAAGTAAGAATGTTGACTTGTGGGATCTTATTAAAAAACATGGCAAAATAATGAATTTCTACATACCTACATACAGAAGGAGGTTAAGACGAAGTAAGTTTGGATTTTTTAGATTCAAAAACATGAGAGAGGCATTAAATGTCATCAGGTTATTAGATGGAATAGTATGGATGGGTTGAAAACTAAAAGTCAGTTTGGCAAAGTATAAGAGGCATTTTAATAGCAAGATAAGCAATTACTTTTAGAGCAAAAATGATATCAAAAGGGTGTCTTATCATCATCAAAGTTATTCAAAAAATGAAAAAATTAAATGTAGAGGTTGTAAAAGGTACAAAGATAGATCAACCAAGCAGTAATAAATCATAGCAAATGAATAGTAAAGATGAAAAGATAAAAGAGATTGTCAAAGATATAAAAATAGAATCTAAAATCAGAAACTAGGCTGTTGAAAATAATGACTCAAATCTCATAGGAGATTTATTTAGAATTTGGTAGAGATTTATTTAAAATTTGTCAGATATTGCTTGTGCACAAGAAAACTTGTAAAAAAAGAATTATAAGAGAAAGATGATTCTTAATAGATAAGTTTGACTTACAAAAGAAGAATTATCAAAGGAAAGAGATTCTTAATAGGCAAGTTTGACTTATAAGAGAAGAATTCTAAGAGAAAAGAGATTTTTAATGGGTAAGTTTGTATGGTTATAAATAGGTGAAGTCTCTACAGGGTTAGGTATGAGAAAAAAATGTAAG